TCCACCTCCTCATCGGGGTGTGCCGAGGTTGGTGCGTAAACCTGTATGACCTTCAGCGAATACCGTTTGGTGATTCTGAGTATAAGGTACGCAACCCTCGTCGACACACTCCCGATCTTTACAACGTTGTTAACGAGAGACTTGTGGACGATAAATCCGACACCTCCTTGAGACAGATGGTTGCCTTCCCGGTGATAGAGCAAGTTGCCGGATTCAAGGATTACCGTGTCCTCCCCCTCTCTTCGGACTTCGGATAGAGTGTATTCGGCTAAATTGTTACTACACTCCGCTGATAACTTAGTGGGTTTGGTTTGAACAAAAATCCATTTGTTGTTGTATAGTTTATGCCATATATCCAGATCACCGGAAATTAGTCTAAATGGACAGTTATCTGGGATTGATATGAAGGCTTTCGTCATAATTTCCATTTCAGAGGGTACATTATTGAATACTGTAGCTACGTCTACAACATCACAAAGGTAGGTATTTGTCGGGATATTTTTACAATTATTTATGTCTTGTAGATAAACATAACTTGTTTTATCTTTGCTTAGCGCTACAAACTTTTCAGAAGGGATGATCATGGCAAAATAGTTTGCTCTAACAAACTAACTAAAGGTAGTTTTATGATAAAAATAGCTTATTGTCTAAATAATAACATTGTTAACATTGTTAATTAAAGTATGAATGTTGCTTAATTCTAGAGGTATTGGAAAATCTTTGTATTTTGGCATAATTCTTAGGTTACTAATTATATCATTATACATTTGATTTGGGCTTAGTATAGATGGATGTAAGGTGTTGGTTTTTACAAATAAAATTGAGTTTAACAAATCTTCGACTTTGAAGCACATTGTAAGTAAATTAGATAGCAAAGTATTTAAAACATTGGATAGTTTCGTTTGAAAACTGAGTATATTTAACATTTCAGATGCATTTTTAACAGTAGAAGATAAGAGTTCAATGACGCTATTTAACCTTATTTGATTGTCATTTAATTCCTCCAGGGATTTATTAACATTAGAAATAGCGGATTTAGAAACTAAGATATGTTTTTTGGTAGACTCTGCTAGTTTAGTTTCGTTATTAAATAGAGCATGAATAGCTTTGTTGTAGTTTTCAGCGTCATCTTCATCCAGTGTGCCGAAAATGTGTTTAAATACCGTGCCAATACCTGAGAACCAGGCAGATCTCTTGTACATACCGTTTAAGATAATATGGGAAATCGCATTAAAATCTCTTAAGATGTCGTTGTAAAGTGCTTCTAGGGGTTGTAACATATTTTCACACTGAGTAAAATCTATGTCCCCACTCTCACGACACTGAAATCGGATTATTTTAAATACTTCATGAATGTGTTCCAAAGGTGTCGGATTGGATGTACGTTTACCGGAATAACGATGTGAAGTTGATCATTAATTATCCTCAATGTACCAACAGGGTCGAAGAATATACCAGGGCTCTTGTCGATGCGTTATATATATTGACCATTGCCGGTTCAAGAATAATAGCACAAAATGCGGTGGCGGTTCTGTAAATAATAATTAAGAGCTTACTAAGTCTAGATTGTATAATAACGTGTATATAATGTAAAAGAAAAGTATATGAATGAATTGTAAGTGTTAAAATATATGTCTTAAAACGAATGTAATTTTGATATTTAAGAACTTATGTCATGAGCGTGTTTCACTTCATCGAAGTGGTGGCGTCTGTTAATAAGGAGAGTAAGGGTATTATTACGGTGGACCTTGATAACTTTGTAAGGCCCCTTCCAAATGGGGGAGAGGGCTTTGCGAAGACGAAGACGATTTTTGATGTAGACGTAATCTCCTATTTTATACTTGACCGTGCGAGAGTTTCTGTCGTAGTATGTTTTAGACCTTTCTTTTGAAATTTGTATATTTTGTTGGGCTCTCTCTCGAGAAATCTTTAATCGATGCTGAAGCATTTTAATGTAATCAGGATAGGTTACGTTACTTTTTGATTCGAAAATAGCATCGGGAATATACGGCTTATGACCAAAAAGAAGTTCGTAAGGAGTGAACTGAGTTGTTGTATGGACGTTACTGTTGTAGGCTAACATCGCCGTATAGACGTATTTGTGCCAATCGGTTTGGTTTTCGTTCACGAAGGACTTAAGATACTCTTTCAAAGTGGCATGGCTCCTTTCGAGAGCACCTTGAGTCTGGGGATGATACGGAGAGGACCATATCTGTCTTATTTTTAAAAATTCACATGTACGTTTGAAAAGGTCAGCCGTAAAATTTGTTCGTTGATCGGTAATTATGGATTTAGGGATCCCAAATTGTGAAATGAAGTGAACTAAAGTTTCGCATGTTTCTTCTGCGGTGACGTTGGAAATTGGATAGGCTGTAGAAAATTTGGTTAGATCATCTTGGAGAGTGAGTATAAATCGGTGTTTGTGAAAACCCGCTTCGGGTAAGGGGCCTACTATGTCTAGGCTTATTTTCTCAAATGGGCGAGTAGAAGTGGTTGTGATTTGCATAGGAGACCGGTTAATCTTGCGTAACGGTTTATTTTTTTGGCAAAGTTTGCAACTTTGTATATACTTCTCTATATATGCGCGCATGTTTTTCCAATAATAACGTTCTTTAATTCTATTATACATTTTATTTGATCCTAAGTGACCGGCTATTGGTATATCGTGATTTTCTTTTAGAATTTTCGATATCTCTGTTGGTACAGGGTATATTATGGAGTTATACATCATAACTCCATAATATACCCTGTTATATTTATTGTTATATTTGTATTGTTATATAAATACATAAGCATGCCGTATATTTTGACAAACGAATGTTGTTCGAACAGATTCTTAAAATCAGAAACTGCGATTTCACTAATATTACCTGAAAGTATAATGTCGTGCCTGGCGGCTATTAAGGTTTTGAAGATTTCGGGATAGGAGCTGTCATCAAAATAATATACTTTTGTGAAGAGAAGATAATAAATTTTGCCCTTTGACTCTATCTTTTTAAATGAGTGAAGTTCTCGTTCTTCGTTTAAGACCTTTGTGTCACTTAAACCGGAAAGAATATCCTCAAGGTAGGGATTTGATTCCTCAAAATTGATAGATACGGGAACTAGGATTGTTTCGCAGTTGCTTTTTAAAAGGCTCTCATTATATTTTTTATGTAAGTATTAAATGTCCTCTCCTTTTTAAAAAAAATTTTTGGGATTTTGCGTCTAAAGGAAATGAATCAGTGTTTTCGGGATTCAACAGTTCTGATGGACTGAGATTCAAGTCACCCAGTTCAATGAGTTCTTCAAGAATATCTGAAGGAAGTTCAGGATCTTGAGTAGGTTGAGGTTTTTCGTGGGAGGTGGAAGGTTGCGGATTGAGATAGTATCATTTCGTACAACCGGATTAACAGGGAAACGGGATAATGCGTCTGCGTTACTGTTAATTTTGCCCTTTTTGTATTCGACCTCGTAGTCGAACTCTTCTAATTTTAGCCTCCACCTTACTAGTTATGACCCCGGGTCTTTACAGTTAAATAACCACTTAAGTGGGCAGTGGTCGGTAATAATTTTAAAACGACGGCCATATAGGTATGGCTTAAATACTTTAGTACCGAAAAGAATTGCTAAGATTTCTTTTTCTGTTATACTATAGTTACACTCGGCTTTATTTAAAGTTCTTGAAGCATAAGCGACAGGTCTATCATTCCCTATGGGACCTTATGATAATATGGCCGAAATAGCAAAATTTGATGCATCACAAGTCAACACGAAAGGCTTTGTGAAGTCTGGGTAGGCTAATATTGGAGCAGTAGTCAAACAATTGTTTAGAGTTTCAAAGGCTAGTTGTTGCTCATTTTGCCAATCGAAAGGAACATTTTCTTCAGAAGGTTATTTTTAAGAAACGTAACCCCCACACTAGGATTTTCTCCTGTATCTTGGGGGCAGTTTACAAACATAAATTGCAGGACAAACATCCAGACACGGAACAAGTATTTGTAGGCCATACAAATACTTGTTCCGTGCGGGATTCGAACCCGCGACCCTTAGCGCTGCAACTCAATTGCTAAGCCACGGAGTCGTAAAGATTTGTAAGAGGTTTTGCAATTTTGGATAGATTTGGTATAAATCTTCGATAGTATGACACTAATCCCATGAAAGATTTGATATCTTTTGGACATCGAGGTTGTGGAAATTGTTGAACAGCTTTGGTTTTCTCTGAATTCGTCTTACCCCCTCGTCGGTAATGATATGATTAAGATATGACACTTCCTTTCGGAGAAATTCGCACTTATCTGATTGGAGCTTAAGATTGAAGTGTCGGAGTCTGTCAAAGACGTTGGAAAGATTATTTATGTATGTTTGAAGATCGTATGAGTAAATAACGATATCATCTAGGTAGACGAAGCACTGGAGTCCTTGTAGGCCAGATAGGGCAGTGTTGATCAATCTTTGGAATGTTGAAGGGGCGTTTTTTAGCCCTAAGGGCATCCTTGTAAATTCAAAGTGTCCTTGTGGAACAAAGAAGGCAGTTTTAGGAGCGCCCTTTTAGGACATTCTTATCTGGTGGAAACCGGAAGCAAGATCTAATTTCCCTAACTGATGAAGAATTTCTGTTATGTTGGGTATCGGATAGGAATCTCCTATAGTGATGTCGTTTAGACGGCGGTAATCTATGACTACGCGCCATTTAGGTTGCCCGGACGCATCGATTTTCTTTTAAACTATCCAAATTGGTGATGACCAGGGTGATGTCGAGGGTTTGATGATGCCATCGTCAAGCATTTTATTTATTTGGCGTTCTACTTCTGGTTTATGAATGTCTGGGAAGCGGTAAGACTTAGCGTTGATTGGTATGGAAGACCAAGTAGGAATTTCGTGTTTGTGAATTGTGTGTTGCTAGACGTTTGTGTTAGTTAATTTGTCGCCAGGCAGATGAAAGATATCGGAGTAAGTACAGCAAATATCGTATAGTGCTTCTTTCTCTTCCTTGTTTAGGTGTGACAATCTTAAGAGATTTAGAGTTTGATCGGTGCGAGTAAGGACGTTATTTCGTGAACCGTCTGAAAAAGTATAAAAGATTCGACGATTAATTCGCTTTCGGAAGTATTTACAACGGAGATATTAATTCTTGAATTTGATTTCACTTTTACGATGCAGTTAGCTATTAGGAGCAAGTCCACGGGGTTCTGATCGAGAACAAGTCCTTCTTTAATGTCCGGATTTCTTACAGAACACTCTATGATAGTTTCACATCGAGGTGCAATAGCATAGACTGGCTTATTGAAACAAAGCTCTATTTCATCTTTATTTACTTTTAAGGTGTTGTTATCATAATTAATTTTGCAATTTAATTTGATAAGGAAGTCACTACCGATGATTCCATCATACGGCAAAACAAATGCTGGAAGTACGTAGAAGTTATGTTGATAGGAACAAAATTCAATTGGGATGTGACCAAGGGATGTAACAGAGTCATTTCCTATATCAGTAATTTCTATAGTATCGTTGTTTATTTCAGGCATTTTTTCTACAGCAGAATCTTTAATAATACTGATAGCTGCGCCGGTATCGACGAGCAAGGATAAGCATTTCGACGAGACAGAAGTTTGAACTTTTATAAAAGGTAAGTATTTTTTTTTATGGATTTGTAGAGATGTTATATAATTTAATATTGTTTTCTTTCTTTTCAGATGCAGGAGATGAAATACTCTTCGATATGACGCCGTTCATAGGCTGTTTGGTAATTGAAGTAGAATTATTAACTTTCAATCTGTCGGTTTGGGGCTGGATACCCTGTCGGTTAGACTGAGTTGGAACGGGAATAGATGCAGGAGACGAAATACTCTTCGATATGATGCCGTTGATAGGCTGTTTCATAATTGAAGTAGCATTATTAACTTTCAATCTGTCGGTTTGGGGCTGGATACCCTGTCGGTTAGATTGAGTTGGTAATATGGTAATAGAAAATGAGTGAAATGATATGATTGGCAATGGGGTGAGTATCGGCTTCACTATTTAGTCGTCCCGTGCGATACTGGACGGGAAATCCTCCGCGTTTAAATGATGGTTAGTGTTATCGACATTTTGATCGCCTGCAATACGAGGCGGCACTGAAAATTTCGGGAATCAAGGAAGTGACACAACATTACTATTTAAAAATGTATTTATTGCTTTTCGGAGTATTCTCCGCAAAATTTGACACATTTTTCATTACGATGGAACCAATCATTGAAGCAACCATTCCATTCGGAAGTTGGGGTCTCCAAAATGGTCTTTTTGTAGGCGTCCACAGCTTCTTCAGGTGATGAAAATCTTTGTCCACGCAATTTATTCTTTATTTTAGGGAAAGTATAGAAATCATTAGGGTTTAGGTCGGGACTGTACGGCGGATGGTCTAATAATTCTATGTTTTCTTGCTCTAAAAACTCTTTTGTTCTGTGTGCGGTGTGAGAACTCGCATTGTCGTGATGGAGGATGATGCGGCGGTTGCAGTTCTCTTTACGGAGTTCAGAAACGACCTGTGGCAAACAAATGCTACCATGCCATTCTGCATTAACCGTTCTTTGTCCCTCAAGAGGAATAGTCGTAACATGGCCGGTTTTGGAGACAAACGTGGCCACCATTTTTTTTGCAATACTCCGTGAACGGACAATTTTTGTTGGCTTTGACTTATTTTCGAACACCCAAACTCGTGACTGGTTTTTTGTTTCGGGTTCGTACACGTATGTCCAGGATTCGTCACCTGATACGATGTTGTATACAGCATTTGAGGATCCTGCGTGGAATCTTTCGAGAGTTCTGACGCACCAAGTAACGCGAGCCGCTTTTTGCTCTTCACAGAACGAATGCGGTATCCATCGGGAAAACAACTTCTTTACACCTAATTGTTCATGCAAGATTTGTATTTGACTCATGTCAATGTCTAAAGTTGTCTGAATTTCGCGGTATGTCACATGTCGATCTTCCTCAATCAGCTTACGCACAGCATCAACGTTTTCTTGGGTGACTGCAGTTTTTGGACGACCTTGACGGGGATCATCACTGAGCTTGACACGTTCAAGTTGAAATTCAGCAAACCAGCGATAAATTGTGGTTTTGAATGGGGCTTCATCACCAAATGCAGAAATCATCCGGTCAACACACTGTTTTTATTTTAAACCACTTCAAATGTCATAATAAATCTTGAATTTTCTCGAGTCAATTCCATTTTCTCAACGACTAAACAAGTTTGATAAAACCTTGTGGCAAGACCGAGAATCTTTTTTTAAATGAATAAATGGTATTAAATTTTTAAAAAACCAAGGACTTTTCAATTAAAAAGATTTTAATATGACAGGAACAGTGTAAATATTCCATTCCCGATACTTTTAGTGCAGCCTATGTAGCAGCATTGATATGCTGATTACGATTCGGGAAAATGTGAGGCGGTGGACCATTATTATTGTAGTTATTGCGATTAACATTATTATTACTATAATTGTTTTGACCGTTACCAAATCGTCGTCGATTATTAGCCTCGTGTTTGCGGCATATTTCTAATGATCGGGTATTTTACTATATCGGCACACTGGGTAATCAGTTCTGAACATAGAGGAAGACCCAGCTGAATTATTAAAAGGCCTCTCTCGCGTGGTAGTTTGGTTTTGTTGAAAATTACGACTAGTAAAGCGTCTTTGGTTTGAATCCTGGGTATTTGTTTGACTAAGCTGGCGTCGAGTCACCTGAAATATTTTTTCTTCAGACACGGCAAAATTAATAGCATCATTGAGCGTATCGGGATCGCGGTATCGAACTACTGTTGATAGACGAGGATTTAAGCCAACCACGAAAGTGTGTAACGCTAAGTCCAGCATTGCCGCGAGACGGCCTGCCAGTTTTCCCTTTTTTCTTGTAGGTATTGATATATTTATTTCCGTTAACAATTTAGACAAACACGTCTCTATTCGCAGGGCGTACTGGTTGACCGTTTCGTTATTGGATTGACGACATTCTTGTAGTTCTGAGAGCAGTGCAGCGTAATGTTTTCTGTCACCGAATTGGGATTTAAGAAAGTCTTCTAACTGTGACCAAGATTCAAATATGTTAATCGAGTAAGCACTTTCAGCGCGTCCTCCTAATTGACTAAGTATGTATTTTAAAAGGATGTCCCGTTGTTGATCTGACGCGAGATTCATAGCATTACTACAGTTATTAATAAATGGCATTAATTTTTCTCGTTTGCCGTCAAACTTACTTATAAATTTACAAAGAATATTGAGATCGATGCTTGGTGTCGAAATAACCGGTGTAGGTTCGTCTTTAGGCATTGTGACGGACGAGGATTAGTCAAAACTAAGATAAGGTACTCGGCGTTTCGCGTGGGAGTAGTAGCGATAAGGCGTTGCACTGGTCTCGAATACAAGCAATGGCACACAATTAGAATATAATGTTTAAAAGACACTTGTTATACAATGGATTATGTTAAAATGAATGAATGAGTATAATTGAAATATGAATTAATTTTGTATTTATTATTTATGCCGTGTAGTGGCGGTCAAGAATATCCTCTACCCCATATCCTCCCGTGGGTGTCGTAAAAGGCGACAAAGAGAAACAGGCAGGAGATGGGCAGCAGCATCTTCCTGATAATAGCCAAAATTACAATAAAAAAACTGCGGTTGCCAACCCGCTCGCCAAGCGTGGCAACCATGGCAAATACCCCCCAGTGATTAAAGCAACAAACAGACGGCCCCCAGTCCCCGGCAGCCCTGCTATTCCTGGCTACGGTGGCGACCATGGTAACGGCGGGGCAGGGGGTGCTAAGAATCTCCGGTGGAGGTTCGGTTGCCACCTTAGACGACTCGACCTGGCAACGTACAACGCACGCACCCTGAGGACTGACGAGAAGATCGTGGAGCTGGAAGAAGAGATAGACAAGTTGCGCTGGCATATTATAGGATTATCCGAAGTCCGAAGAGAGGGGGAGGACACGGTAATCCTCGAATCCGGCAACTTGCTTTATCACCGGGAGGGCGACCATCTGTCCCAAGGAGGTGTCGGATTTATCATCCACAAGTCTCTCGTTAACAACGTTGTAAAGATCGGGAGTGTGTCGACAAGGGTTGCGTACCTTATACTCAGAATCACCAAACGGTATTCGCTGAAGGTCGTACAGGTTTACGCACCAACCTCGGCACACCCCGATGAGGAGGTGGAGGAAATGTATGAGGATTTTTAAATAAAACTAATTTTACGGATTTTATCGCGTATATTAACTTATTTTTATATTCCCGACGTTTCGGGTGCTTTCCAGCACCCGTGGTCACGGGGGACTGAGGTGTTTGACGTCCTGCTGTCATAGTTAGCCCGGCTACCATCAGTTTTTTAATATTAATTTATTTAAAAATGTGTAGTATTCGCGTAAATATAACAAATCATAATGTATGAGGATATCTCTAGAGCCATGCATTCCTCCAAAACCCAATATACGGTGTTAATGGGAGACTTCAATGCAAAACTAGGCACAAGAGAGAACGGTGAGCTGAAAGTAGGGAAATTTGGAATAGGGCAACGGAACCCAAGGGGCCAGCAGCTGGCCGACTTCATGGAGAAAGAGGGACTCTTTATGATGAACTCTTTCTTCCAGAAGCGGCCCCACAGGAAGTGGACCTGGTCGAGCCCAATGAAAAATGAGATTGACTTCATTATGACGACCAGACGACAACTGTTCAGTGATGTCTCCGTGATCGCGAGGGTGAAAACTGGTAGTGGTCACCGAATGGCTAGAGGCACACTGAACCTAAACGTTAAGTTGGAGAGGTCTCGTCTAATGAAGTCAACGCCCCGTCCCCCTCGTGCCCCGTCCAAAGTCCCGAAACCTTTCAGCTCGAGTTACAAAACCGTTTTCAGTGCCAAGAAGACTGCAATGAAGTGGACGATATGAATGACAAGCTCGTGGAAACTGTCCATGCGGTCGGAGCTAAGTTCTGCAAGACTCGCCGCAGAAGAACACAAAAACTCTCCGATCACACTCTTAATCTCATGGCTGTTAGATGGGAGATGAAGCTACATTCTTCAACAGACTTGACAGCATACAGGCATCTGAACAGACAGATCTCCAAATGCATGCTGCGGGACTTACGCAACTTCAATACAGCTCGTATTGAAGAAGCGATCAAGCGGAACCAAGGCTCCAAAGTCTTTGCCAGAGATCTGTCTGCCAGAAAGAGCCAACTGTCAAAGCTGAAGACAGAATGTGGCAGCATCGTTTCAGGGACCCCTGAGATTTTGAGTGAGATTGAGAGGTTCTATGGGCAGCTGTACACGTCATCGTTGGAGACACACGCAAGTGTGAGTAACGATCCAAGAGCGAGTCTCATCCGACACTATTCCGAAGATATCCCGGACGTCAGTCTGAGCGAGATTAGAATGGCTCTGCAGCTCCTTAAATACGGTAAGGCCCCAGGCGAGGATGGAATTACAGCGGAGCTTCTGAAAGCGGGTGGAAGACCGGTACTTGAAGTCCTTCAGAAGCTCTTTAATT